CTCAGAATGGCGTGCAATTTGAAACTTATGAATTGTTATTTCATTTGATATTTTTGGACCACAACTGACAGTGAGTAACTAAAACCAAGGAAAGTGAAACCGTGGATACGGGGAGGACTACTGCAATAAGAAATGGGGGATTATCAACCATCAGAGTTAGAAATGGAAAGCAGACTGGACTGAAGATAAAAATGTAGGTTTTCTGTTAAAACCAAGAATAGAAGTTCATAGGAAACTCAGAAGAAATAAAACTTAGGGAAAAGGAAGGCAAAGGAGTAAGGTGCTGCTACATTTTGAACATGAGATAGAGGAACATTCAAGAAAAGTTTTAATTATTCTACAAAGAGTTTCAGAAACATGCATATGACGACACGCCAACACTCTCACCAGTTCCCTGGTATCTGCCCCTGAGGGGACTGAGTGGAAGAGATCCCCAGGCTAAAACAGTCAAGAGTCTACAAAACTGCGGAAGCAAGGCTCTACCACCGACAGTCCCTGTCCTGAGCCTTCTGGCCTAGGACTCCCTATTTGGAGAAAACACAAGCCAGGAGATAGACATTTAGCAACGCTTCTTCTTCCCCAGAGAATTTTAGACATTTCAAATAATTAACATCATTAATATGCCAGAACTATCTTGACATCTTTGAAAGAAGACAAAAACTAATTTGCTTCCTCAAAAGCTGTTCAAGATTCCAGTACTAGTTTAAGACCCTTGCAGTACCACCTCTACTGTTACAGCATCAAAGACCCAAACCAAACATAAGATATAAAAACATGGCAAGAGGGACAGGCCCAGGAGAAAGAGACTGTTAACAAGGTAAAAAGGCAAGGAAAATATAGGGTTAACTAAGGTTCATTTTCAGGTGCCTCCACAACGTTAAGACAGACTACAGAACAAACGCCTCTTGTAGAGGATTTTCACGGCTATTTGGAACCAACAAGTCTTTGGAAAGAAAGTCATAAATTATGAGGATTAAAAACCTTAGCACAAAAGGAAGAAATGCTCAAGGTCAAGGTCACAGACTGTTCCTTTGAAAAAGCAACAGGAAGCCTGTGCTTAGACTAAAAAGGGATAGGGGATAGACGTCTTTGTCTATTGACAGTAATCCCACTTGACCATAGGAGTTGTAAAACACCTTAGGTCCAAACACCTACAGGAAGGGATGGAGTCCCTTTCCAGTCCACTTTGAGTCAGGTAAAGAATAAAACAATATTAAAAATAAAAAGTTATAATAGCTAACAAATATAGCATTTACTACATGCTAGGACTCTACTGGCTTTATGTATTAACTCATTCAACTATTAAAACAACTAGATGAGATGAGTACTAATAAAATCTCCCATTTCACAGATGAGGAACTCAGGAGACAAAAGCTGAAATGAATTTGCTCACAATCCCTCAGCTAGTAAGAGAGGGGAGCTGGGATTAGAATGCAGCCAGTATAGCTCCCAATAATCAGAATCATCATACTACCGTGTCTCTCAGGAAGTTCAGCCTCCAATCCAGAGCTGGCCCACATTTTACATTCTCATCCTTCTCTATTCATGTCCTTAAGAATTTTACTATTTATTAGGGAGTCTTAGGAATGTCTTATTAAATCTATCAGAACCAAAAGCAGAACATCCCCGTTCCCCTTCTTTTCTACTTTGTGCCCTGTGACACATGAAGGTAAACTACACCCAAGTGTTGGGATGGGCAGGCCCTGTAGAGCCACAAAATATGCCAGATGGTTTGGCATATTTTGTTCAATGAATTACTATCTTGATTTGGTGAGGTAATAGGGAGAGGCAATAATGAGAAAGGGAGAACATTAATGTTTATGGGTGGGAGATGAAATGAAATAATGACCTAAATAATAAAAATAAGTGTTCTACTGAAATCATACCTATACTTCAAAGGCCTATCTCAAAGATCACATCCTCCCAACCAGACTTCAGGTTTAAAGAACCTAAATAATATTCTATCCCAGTTGGCCTTTGGTACCCAACTTTTTCCAATTTATATTACAGATATATCTATAAATTATACTGTAAGCAACTTGTGGGAAAAAAATTCTTATTTGCACAAAGCACTCATACCTGTTTAGTTCATCTGAGTGAAAAGCGAAACTGCAGTGGAACTGTAAATTGTGAAAAAGGGCTCAGTGTATCATCTAGCCCTTTAGTGTAGTCTAAGGCAAATTTAAAGCAAAATATTAACTGAAGTCTCTGAATTAAAGGCTTGAAACAAGTTTCACATTTTTCATACATTTAAGTATGTTATACTCTATATTTTTCATAACTATTTCTGTTGAGAACAAGCAGAATTCAGTTTACACTTTTAATACGGAATAACTATCCATTTTAAGGGAGGAAAAAACCCTCCATCTTTCTCAATTTTGTGATCTCTGAGGACAAGGGCCCTTTTGGTTCCAGCATGTTCTCCAAATCCACAACACCTGGTGAACATACAGTGGGCCTTCATAAACATTCCCAACTACACAACCGCACTCAACAACAGACATAAATCCAAATGTTACTTTTGATCCAAAGAAATCTAAAAGTAATAAGGTCAACATGTAACATTAGCCTCAGTTCAATCCATGTAACTTTAAGCATTTTACCTCATAACTTAAACTGAATGTTGTACATGCCTGTAATTTTTTAAGTTGGAGATGGGGTGGAAGAAGAGAGATAGGGGTTACTTGGAACCTGTAAGATGATACCAAATGTTTTTGTGTTTATCTGTATGTATGTATGTATCTGCATGACGTGTATAATCATATTTTCCACCAAAATTCAAATTAATATTCTACCCAATAATTAATCTCAGCAGAGAATCAAGAGATAGATATGGAGAGAGAGAAAAGAAAGACACACAAAAGGCAAACAAAAGAAAAAGGAGAAGACAGAAACAGAGAGGAAGAAAAGGAAGGGAAGAGGTAGGTGGGAGGAGAAGGAGAAGGGAAGAGAGGGGGAAAGGAAGAGCCACATAAAGAGTGAAATGAAACAAAAATGGTTTGAAGAAAACCTTTTCTTGCTGAAATTTGCAGTAAAATCCAGATTTCTACTGAAATGGAAAACTCGCATCTTGGGTCGGTGAGTGGCTGGGGTTTGTTATGAAAGCATATCAATATTTTACTTGACAATTGCCATGCTAAATGCCACTGTTATTTTCAGTGTCATTTCACTGTCATCTTCTCACAGTAAATAAAGAAAAATATAATACATATTTTTCCCCCTGAGGTTTGTAAACATGATCTCAGTTGTACAACTGCAACAAATCATCCAGCAAATTCCTGGTAGAGTAAATCAAAGAACATATGTTTACCCAAGATGAACAGTAGCCACTGGACTGTACATTAACTATGTTTGGTTTCAGACAGCTCCATTAAACATGCTCTAAATCTGCCCAATAATTTGCCCACAGTCATACTACCATGAGCTACCACTAAAATCTAAAGGCTTCACTACGAAAATTTTTCCTGTCAGTTTTCATTTCTGACATAACTTGATAAAAGTCTCACAAATCCTCTTAGAAAGATTCCATTATTTTCCATGCTAATACCACTAAACTGAAAAAAGACTCGTTAACATGTGTACATGTTCAGTGGATGTACAGAATATATTTATCATGTCATATTCCAATACCTTTTATCTCCCATTTGGAATTGTAGCTTTAGAAATGGCAGCAAATCTATAAAGAACCAACTTGAAAAATACCTTCCTTATATAGTAAGCTGAAGCTACTTTTCTTTCTGCTTTTTTCATAATGTTATTTGTTTAACAAGCTGCAATTAAAGTAAGACTTAGAACCTCCTAATACCATATTTTTATAACTTCTTTCATTTTCCATATAGTATGTCTTTCCAAATCTAGCAGAACTCTATTATATATACTTTATATAGTTTAAAAGTCATATAAAACATAATAAAGGGGCCCGCCCCGTGGCGCAAGCGGTTAAGTGTGCGTGCTCCACTGTGGTGGCCCGGGGTTCGCCGGTTCGGATCCCAGGCTCACACCGACGCACCACTTGTCAAGCCATGCTGAGGCGGTGTCCCATATAAAGTGGAGGAAGATGGGCATGGATGTTAGCCCAGGGCCAGTCTTCCTCAGCAAAGAGGGGAGGACTGGCAGATGTTAGCTCAGGGCCAATATTCCGCACAAAAAAAAAACATAATAAAGGACTAATCTCTCAGCTGGTACATTTCCATATTATACCATGACTCAAATGTGCCACCCTTCTTAGCAAATTCATTCAAAGGAACTGATGACAAAAGAAATCTACATGTGTATAAAGTTCTTACAGAGAAGGCTGGAATCAAATAGAAATCTGTAAAAATCACATTCTCACCATACACATCTTATCCTGAACTTCTAAAATATTCACACCCATTATCAATCAATCACAAATTATATTTGATCAAATGCACATCTCATTTATGCTGCTGTAGAATGTTACGAATTCCAAAGTTGATTGTGTTGTCTCCTCGAAATCAATCTGATCATAGGGAAAAACATGTTGATTATGACCAATAATAAAGCCAAGTACAAATAATTCAGGCATTCTACAATTACCAGACTTAATTTAATCTATTTCCGGAGACAACCTGAGTGGCTCTGTGACTAGGGACTGAATATAGGCAGAAGCGCTTCCCTTATAGTCTGCAAATTCTTTTTTGTTTCCACAGTGACTATACCTTTGTGACCCTTCTCAATTTATGACGGTCTGCTTACAAATAAAAGTTCAAAAGCTGTCTACTACCTATTTTTACGAATCATTCCAAGTCTACTTATTATCCCAGTATTATTGATTACAATGTGGACTTTTAGGAATTATTAATTGAAGGGTACTTTGCAGTCTGACACATCAAGGACAAGGCCCAATAGAAACATCACCAATAAAACCAAGAGCAAAAACCAAAATACTTGCATGATCCTTAGCCTGTCTATTTTGAATTAAAAAGTAAGCAGAAAATATAAACTTAAGTATATCTAAAAACCAACATTTCAATGCTTACTTTCAGTAGATCCTTGGAGAAATCAACACCCTCATTTACCCCTTGGAGGTTTGCAATGAACTCTTGGCAGGTCATCTTCTTTCCAATATTCTGGAATATAGGCAAATAATACATCATAATGACATATACAGAATTAAGATTAATTCTTAAAATGTGATTAAGTAAAGCAAGATTGAGTTGGATTTTCAAAACAGGAATACACACACACCCCCCAAAATATGTGTATATATATACACATACATATAATACAAATTTATATGCATAAGAAAAACTAGATGGCTTATGCTTTTAAAACTGTCAGTAAATACAAATAGCAAAATTATGTCAAACTTTTATTTTAACCTATGAAAAAAATCTGAAAAATCTATACATTCATATAAATAAATAATGTAGTTTTTAATGAAAAATATGAATAAAAATGACATTTCTGAGCTGAACTCTGATAGCTATTTATTTGCTTATTTATTTGTATTTCCTAAATAGTGTCAAGAAACGTGAAGGATCTGAGATTTTAGCTTACTTTCAAGCTAACGTCAGCCCGTCACAATCTCATGAATGCTGGCAGAAGAAGTAAGACTCCTAGGTCAGAGGCACAGGAATTTATTACAACAATAGAAGTAGCCAGAATATCAGTATTGTCTTGCTCCAGTTCCCTGAATCCCACTTCTCACGGAGCAACTTGAGTAGGGCCAGCTGACACCTACACACACAGTGGGCTGCGATACAGGAGAAGAAGCCTGAGATTTGGGAACCTGAATCTTCATAATGGACAGTAAGCACGCTTGCCCCTTTGCTCTAAAGAGAGAAATCAGCTCTTACCTTCCAAAGCTATAAGCAAATCTATCCACTGCTCTGGGGTTACTATATCTTCCAAAGCTGCTCACTATAGAAATAATCTTGAAAGACAGACCAAAACAAAGGCAACCAAAGCTTCTGTTCACAAAAGGTACAGAAAAGCAAGAGACCAGTGGAGAACTGTCTCCAAACTTGCTGCCAAGCTGATTGAAGGATAATAAGTTTAACCAAAGAAAATCTCATTAAGAAACAAAACATAGTTAGAAAATCTAAACTCCAAAAAGAGAAAAGATACAAATTTGCTGACTGGGAAAACTAATAAAATTACTATGACAGAGAGTCACCTGCTATGCCAACTCCAACCAACTGGTAAAAGCTGCCAGTTGTGAAGGATTCTGAGGTTCACTCTGAACACCAACAGAAATCCGTCATGAGTGCAGGAGAGGGATGTAGAACACAAACAAGTGGCACAAGCAGGGGATCCTGGGCAAAATGTGGTCCAAGCGAACAGGAAGTACACGCACATATTAATATCCCTTTGCAGAGTACACACACAAATAAAACGTATGCTCTGCAAGGCTATTTTATTCAGAAAAGACTAAAAGAAGGGTACAACAGTAGTCTTCAAGCTGGGGCAGAACATTACTGGAGATAGACTTTAAAAGGGATGCAACGCCACGGATAGTTTTAAGTGAGTATGTATACAGAGCCTTAACTTTAAAAGTACAGATCTGCCTGAGAACATATACACTTAGGTGTCTTAAAAGTAATGGCTTCCCACTTCCCCTTTCACAAGCGCTCTGCTACTTTACAACATGAAACCCATGCTACCTAATTAATTATAGTGAAAACGCTAAATAATTTTTGTTAAAATTCTTGCCTCTTCAATCAGCAAAGAGGGCACAGTCAGACTTTACATGAAATATTGGATGAACATTTTAACAAGAACTGGCTTTGCCAATTAACTTATTTGTAGATAGTTCCCGTAATTTGAATAAGTTAAGTCTGCAGTCCTAAGTTTGGATAAAAATTTATTTGAAGCACAGAAAGGAACTTTAATGAAAAACACCATTTCACAACATTATGTTGAAAAAGACATTTCAGTTTTCCCAATTCTTATCAAGTGTATCAGATCAAACAAGGTGCCTCCAGGTAAAAAGTAACAAGTATAATCAATAATCATTTTGATATGACTTGGCAAGGCCTTTTTGGATATGTTCTGATGATTTGAAAAAATGGATGAATAATGACTAGGTAACAAACTCTTTTCCAAGTCAGGTGGTTTCCAATTCTTTGCTTTTAACAAAATTAAAAGAGGACATAATTTAATCATCAGTTAAAAACCAAAATGTTTTTTAATATGTGATTTGGTGAATTCAAATACTCGTAACATTATCTGTTTTTTAATCAATTTCGTATTGTTAACAATGATAAAAATTTCTTTCAGAATGATTTATATTTAAACCCTTGAAATCTTATAGTCATACGAAATTGAAACTTTCATTTCAACTTATATAGTTTTTTGTTGCAAATAAGTACCAAATAATGATCAATAGAAGGCTCCCAAGTATAAAAACATTACATGAGGAAAAAAAAAAAAAACTATGGAAAAGTAGACAAATTATGACTAGTAGGAGAAAAAGAAATGGAATAAAAAGAGTTGATTTTTTTATATGATGATGGAGAAGTGCCAACTCACTATATCTTTTTAAAAATATCAACTTTATTGAAATATAATTCACATAACATTCACTCTTTTGAACTATACAATTTAGTAATTCTTAGTATATTGATGAAGTTGTGCAGCCATAACCACTATCTTAGTTCAGAACATTTTCATCATGCCAAAAAGAGACTCCATATCCAGTAGCAGTCACTCCCCAAATCTCTCCTCCCATCCCCAATACCCATCTCCTGGCAACCACTAATCTACTTTTTATTTATGTAGATTTGCCTATAGAGGACATTTCATAAAAATGGAATCATATAAAATGTGGCCTTTTATGACTGGCTTCTTTCATTTAGCATAATGTTTTCAAGGTTCATCCCTATTACAGCATGAATCTGTAATTAATTTCTTTTTATTGCCAAATAACATTCCATTGTATGAATATATCAAATTTTGTTTATCGTTTAGAAGTTGACAGATATTTGGTCTGTTTCCACATTTTGGTTACTATGCATAATGTTGCTATAAGTATTTGTGTACAAGTTTTTGTGTGGACATATGTTTTCATTCCACTCATGTATATAACAAGAGCAGGATTACTGGGTCATATGGTAACTCTATGTTTAATCATTTGAGGAACTGTCAGAATGTTTTTTGAACTGGCCACACTAGTTTACGTTCCCACTTGAAGTGTATGAGACTTTCAATTTCTCTATATCCTCACCAACACTTAGCTGCCCTTTTTATTTTAGCCATCCCACTGGGTATGAACTGGTATCTTGTGGTTTTGGTTTGCATCTCCCTAACGACTAACGACGTTCAGCATCTTTTCATGCCCTTACCGGCCATTTGTATATGTTCTTTGGGGAAATGCCTACTCAAATCATTTGCCCTTTTCTTATTGAGTTGTCTTTTTATTGTTGAGTTTTAAGAGTTCTTCATATATTCTGGATACAAGCACCTTATCAGTATGTACTTTGCAAATATTTGCTCTCATTCTGGGGGTTGTCTTTTCACTTTCTTGATGGTGTCCTTTGAAGCACAAAAAGTTTTTAATCTAGATGAAATCTAATTTATTTTTTTTCTTTTGTTACTTATGTTTTTGGTGTCACATATAACAAATTATTGTCTAATCCAGGTCACAAAGATTTACTCCTATGTTTTCTAAGAATTTTATAGTGTCAGCTCTTACATTTAGATAGTTGATACATTCTGTATTAATTTTTGTACAGGGTAGGACATACCAATACAACTTCACTCTTTTGCATGTGGCTATCCAGTTGTCCCAGCACCATTTGTCAAAAAGGCTATTCTTTCCTCCAGTCTTGGCATCTTTGTTGAAAATCAACTTACCATAAATGTAAGGGCTTACTTCTAAACTCTCAATTCTATTGCATCGATCTAGATGTCTGGTTTGATGTCAGTATAGTATTCTCTTGATTCTTGTAGCTTTGTAGTAAATTGTCTTTTGCATTTGCATTTTTTAATTGTGGTTAAAAAAATTTACCATCAACCATTTTTAAGTGTACAGTTCAGTAGTGTTAAGTATATTCACATCGTTATGAAACAGATTTCCAGAACTTTTTCATCTTGCAAATCTTAAACTCTATACCCATTAAAAAACAACTTTCCTTTTCCTCTTCCCCCTGGCCTCTGGTAACCATCATTCTACTTTCTGTTCTACAAATTTGACTACTTTAGATATTTCATAAAAGTGGAATCACAGATTTTCTTTTTATGACTGGCTTATTTCACATAACAAAATGCCCTCAAAGTTCACCCATGTTGTAGCAAGTGTCAGGATTTCCTTCTTTTATAAGGCTGAATAATATTTCACTGTCTATATAGACCACATTTTTGTTTTTCCGTTCACTCGCTGGTGCTCCACTTCTTGGCTATTGTGAAGAGCTACTATGAACACAGGTGTGCGAGTATCTCTTTGAGATCCTGCTTTCAGTTCTTTTGGACTGACAAAGAAATGGGACAGCTGTATCACGTGGTATTTCTATTTTAATTTTTTGAGGAACTTCCATACTATTTTCCTTAGGATTGCACTATTTTACAATCCCACCAACAGTGTACAACTGTTTCAATTTTGCCACATACTCACCAACATTTGATATTTTGTTTTTTTTTTTTTATAGTAGCCATCCTAATCAGTGTGAGGTGATATCTCATTGTAGTTATGATTGGCATTTCTCTGATGATTAGTGAATGCTGAGCATCTTTTCATATGCTTGTTGGTTACTTGTATATATTATCGTCAGAGAAATTTCTATTCAAGCCCTTTGCCCACTTTTTAATTGGGTTACTTGATTTTTTTGTTGTAGATTTGTAGGAGTTTGCTACATATTCTGGATATTAACTACTCATCAGATATATGATTTGCAAATATCTCCTCCCATTCCATAGGTTGCCATTTCACTCTGACGACTGTGTCCTTTGATGTACAAAAATTTCTAAGTTTGATGTAATCCCATTTGTCTATTTTTGCTTTTGTTACCTCTGCTTTAGGTGTTATATCCAAGAAATCATTGCCAAGTCCAATGTCATGAAGGGTTTCCTCTGTTTTCTTCTAGGAGTTTTATAGTTTTAGATTTTATATTTAGGTCCTTAATCCATTTTG